ATTGTGTATCCCGTTTTCTTTTAATCAAATATTTTTTTGTTTCAATGTATTGTATATGTAATACATCTTAAATTTGGTAAGATAAAATTTGTTTGACACAGTCTGATTTATATTCAAAAAAAAAAATTCGGTTGGTAAAATCCGCAAATAAACATAATTGATTTGCCAAAGTTTCAACCCATTTATTAATAATATTATAAAATATTGTTTAATGATATTATAAATATTGTTAGTTAAGATAAACATGAACACAAGATCTTCTATTTTTTTTAGCACACAACGGAATTGATTTCTTGCACTGAAAATCATATCTAAATTTATCATCACTCCTAAAAAAAAAATTAAAAAAAAAATTCATGTATCATCTCAACAAAAAATTTTAGTAACACTGCTAGCCACAACATAAGAGCAGAACATGAACTCCCAATCTCAAAACCTCAACCACTCAATTATTACTCCAAAATAAGCATTTACATGTTCATGAATCATTCTACAATTAAAGGAAGATAGACATAGCAAACACTATCAGAACCTTCACGAATACATCCTCAACATACATGGCGTACCTCTTAGATCGAACCCCCAAGCCTGCCGGCTTGTCGCTTAAATCGAGCTGGCACCCAATTGCTCGAGTAATCGTCCACTGCTGTCGCTCAACAGAAGCACCTCATCCCCAATCTTCAGATTTGCCTTCCACGCCTTGATCACGAAGACGTTGTTCAGGAAAACGCACACGATGGTGTCGATTCCTTTGGCCATGAACTCGACAGCTTTCTCCACGAACCCCGGAAGATACTTCTGCGAGGAGGTGGGGTGAACGCGTCGGGGACGACGAGGATGATGACCTTCTTGCCGGAGGTGAGATCGGAGATTGATACTGTCTTCGTTTATGAAGTTTGAGGTAGAGAATATTTCATGAGAAAGAAGGAAAGAAGAGGGCGATGGGAAAGAGAAAGGAGAAAAAAGTTTTTTGTTATTTGTTAAAGATAATGTTATTATATGGAATGGAAAATAAAGAATGTATCCCAATAAAATCTGATTTGAAAGTTATGTGATTTTTTCTTTAAATATTTGAATTGAAATCTTTTCCAAAAATTTCAAAACGTACTTAGGCGGCATATTCTGAAACAAAAGAAAAGAGAAGCGGGAAAATGTCATAAAAAAGCGGGAAATGAAATAATTTTTTTTGGAGTTTTTCAAATATTTTTTCTTAACTGTATTTTATAGTAATAGATGTAAAAAACATGTCTTCCTAATAATTAGGTCAACCTAATAAAAGAACTATTGTATGTATCAAACAAAAACAAAATATACATCTATATATATATAAAAAGAATTATCATTTTTTAAAAATAGTAGGTCAAATTCTGGTCAAATTTCAATTAGCATTAATTACATTCCATACTTAGTAACTTCTTTTTTTTTCCAAAAAAATCAACATTAAAATGCTACCCTAAAATTATGGTATTTGTTATTTTTCTTTCAAAAAATCGTGCTACCATAAAGAAACAATATTACATACCATAAATTTTTGGCTAACTAAAGTGTTCTGTTTGGAAACTATTATATTTTAATTAAAACTAATTACGGTTGATTTAATCTTGAAATGATACAACAATTTTTTTTTTTTTTTTAATATGCACCCTAAATTTATATATTTTGTGGATTTAATTTAGATAAATTTCGACTGATGCAAAAGTCAATTTTCTTTCTCTATTTTTATTAAAAAAAAACTGATTAAAATAAAAACAAGAATTTCGAATTAGGCAAAATACTATCACATATAACTTTTACTAATTGCAACAAATCAATTATTTATTATAAAAATCGGATTGCATACTCGGCATGAAAATTTTGTAAAAGTCAAAATTCTTTCATTTTTTAATTAAAAAAATATGTTTACCATACAATCGAGAATTTTGAATTAGACAAAACACTATAACATGTATATTTACCTAATTGTAGCATATCATGTTTATTAAAAAAAAATCGGATTACATAAAAATCGGGCCAAATTTCAAACTAAAATATAAAAATCTTTTATCATTTGATTACTATTTTCTTTGATTCGGACTTTTTTTAAACATAAAACAAAGTCATATAATATTAATTTGAAATTCAAAATGAAATCGGATTGTAACATCCTACAAATTTGGATTTTGTTTAATTATCTAGAATACAAATTTGAAATTGATTGAATACACTTACAAAATAATAGAAATGTTCCCCTACCCACGGTGGGCACATGTTAATATGTCCACCGTGTAGGTGGCATGCACTCATTGGTGATGCTAATATGTTTAAAAAATACATCACCAATGAGTGCATTTCACCTACGCGGTGGGCATATTAACATGTGCCCACCGTGGGTAGATGAACATGTCTCAATAAAATAAATAATGATTTCATACACTTACAAAATATCGTATATATTCTGCTAAATAATTTAATCGATTTATTTAAGACTATCTACAATCTTAATATAATTTATGGCGATAGGCGATGTACCAAAGACCAAACAAATAATTTTGTGTACAATAATGTGTTTAATAATATATAACGTTACATTGTGTTTCATTTCAATATATGTATTTTACGTTCTTCCAATCATCCAAATTTAACTGCTTACCTTAATAAAATAGCTCGTGCATCGCACGGGTACCGCACTAGTTTTACATGAAACCAGTGACTAATATGCCCAAAGCTGAGTTAAGAGCCTAGGGCTGGAAATGAATCGAGGAGCTTGAGTTTGACTGAGCATGAGTCGAGCTCCTGCACCTGGAATTTGAGCTGAACTAGAGCATGTTACATGAACACGAGTGCTCGACAAATCACTTGAGTATAAATATAATTTATCTATACACGAGTGCTCGACAAATCACTTGAACATACGTAAAATAAAAATGATTCTAACCCGATAAGACCAATGTTCGGCTCGTGAGGTGAGGAAAGATAGGCCGATCTCATAATTTGTATACTGCTATCGAGTCAAGCCGAGTCTTAAAAAGTCAAGAGCTCGACATACTTAAAATAAAAAGGGTTCTAACCCGATAAGGCCAATGTTCGGCTCGTTTATCATCGGTGAGGTCCAAAACCGGAATAAGCGCCACTTTGTCCATCCCATGGAAGTTCACTAAACGCGTTGCTACTGATGACGATTTCCAAAATGAACGGCTTACGGGGCCGTTAAAATTACAGCACTTTTAAGGTTTAACTCTCCACCCATCACACCGGAGAAGATGATCAAGAAGCGAATCCTGATAGTCGGCGGCACCGGCTACTTGGGCCAACACCTCCTACGATCTTTCTCGGACAACTCAGATGCAGATTTTCCCTTGGCCCTCGCGTTCACGCACCGCTCGAATCCTCCTCCTCAGGCTCTGCTCGATGCTGTTTCTCAAGCTCTCCCGTTCCACGTCGATCTGAGCACCGGCGGCGGCCTCGGCTCTATTTCCGATGCTTTTGGCCAGGTATGAGCTTCCTCATTCTGCTCCGCGTGAGGTTATGGCCTCTCAATAGCTCAATGATTTTTTATTTTTATTTTTTTTAAGTTGTTTCATCAGGATGATGGTTTGTTTGGAGTATGTGCCATTGTGCTACTTTATGTTTCTCTTGTGCTCCCAAATATGGTGCCATTTTCGTTTGATTGACCTTTTCATTGTGTTTTATCTGTGTACTATGCATTTAGGTGGTTTATTAAGGTTTTTGTGGGTGAAATTTTTGGAAGTTGGTTAGGTATGTTGTTTGTGAAAAGGCCTTGGTTGTGTAGAACTGATTTTGATTTCAGCCAGACGTGGTGATCAATTGTGCTGCTCTTTCTGTGCCCCGAGCGTGTGAGATGGATCCGGAAGCTGCCATGTCTGTGAATGTCCCTACAGCTCTTGTGAAATGGTTGTCGAGCTTTGGGGAGAGTACTCTTCTGATACATTTGTCGACTGATCAAGGTTGGTTTCAGTTTTTAAATTTGGTGCTTTTTTTCCCAAAATGTAGATAGATTGTTGAGGTATTAAGTTCTGCACATTTTTTGTTTTTCTTGAATTCTTAGAATGCATTTTTCCACCCTATGAACTTTGATTTGCTAACCTGAAGCAGCCTGAATTTTTCCATATCTAACCAGTTTAATCTTCTTCTTTATTCAACATCCATTTTTTAATTTGTTGGAAGGGCCTCAAATTGAAATGTTCTTTACTAGCATTCTCGATCTAGTCTCTTTGTTCCACACCTTTGCCTCAGAAAACACCAAAGGAAGGAGCAGAATATTAGAAAAAAGAAGACAGACACGAATATGATGTTTCACTTTTTTCTGTATCTTGAAATTAAATTGGATTTTCTGCAGTTTATGAAGGGACAAAATCCTTTTACAAGGAAGAGGATGAGACTGTCCCGGTGAATGTATACGGAAAATCTAAAGTCGAGGCAGAACATTATATATCTAGGAACTGCCGAAACTTTGCAATTCTGAGAAGCAGTATAATCTATGGACCTCAAACCATCTCACCTGTTCCTAAATCTCTTCCAATCCAGGTGTGTGAATGACGAAGTGCTGAATCTTATCCTTAAGTCAATTGGGTTTTTGTATAGTAAAAGCTTTTCAGTAAAAATCCTTTGTACATCGAGGTACAAGAATAGTTCAGTCTATCATTGTTGTTGAACAAATTACAAATGTTAGTGGAAATATCTGTGGTGCAGTGGATGGATAATGTCCTTGCTAAGGGAGAGGCATTGGATTTCTTTCATGACGAGTTTCGATGTCCTATCTTCGTGAAGGATCTTGTTGCTGTAGTACAGACATTGACTAAACAATGGATCTCAGGTTAGAGCCTCGAGGCTTCTGCATTCTAGTAGTCCCTGATAAGTTTTAGTCAAATTAGCTTTGAAGAATTTGTTTATTGCATCTACAGATTTTAAATGTGCAAGTGTCATGCCGAAGGTTTCACTCAAAACTAATATAATTTATGACCCTTTCTTGAAGTGCTTTCGCTTATGACTTGTTTGTTGACATGATGATTATAATTTTTAATTATTTTGTAGAGGCTAA